TACACGTCTTCTTTATGGACAAAAGAGAAGGACTGGGCATGTCACTGAGGTGTCACCAAGAAAGATGTTGACCTCTTCCTCTGTTGAAGTCACCACATTTTCTTTATTTCTAAATCTGATATGTTCTTCCTCTAAAGAAACCTGTTGGATAAAGTAAACATTCCCAGGACATTTTGACACTAGTGGGTTGATTCAATGTCATATTTGAACGAATATGAAATGAAACATCCTAGATATCATGTTTTAGTTTTTTTTTTAGAGAAAGCTGTGGCCTTGTATCCAATGATGCAGATTCTACGTGGAGAGAGCACTCGCATTCTCTTTAGTTCAGCTTATCCAGTCCCAGTAGCTCCAAAAGCCAGGTGATATATTTATATTTTCAGGCAGATTTCAAAGACACTAAGCGCTGGAACCCGTCAGCAGGACTTTGTGATCTGGTGGGTCAGCATCCGGTCCACAGAGATGGTGGTCACCACGGGCTCTGCACCCACCCGCCACCTCCAGCCTCCCTTCCCCACACTCCCTGTCCCCAGTGTTCTAAACAAACTGATCCATGGGTCCCTGCTGGCTCCAGACTCTCACCTGTGGCCTTTCACCCACAGAAGACTCTAGGTGAGCACTGAATGGAGTGGCTGGCCGGACCATGGGCTGAGTCTGTGGCCCTCCTCTCAGCTTTGGCTGGGTCTTAATGAAAGTTGGTAAGTGGACTCTCCTTCTAGACCCGCCCCCCTCTGCTTTCCAATGTCTCATTTTGTCTCGTGACAGGGTGTGCCAAGAAGACAGGGCCTCCCTTAGTCACCAAATCTTACCATGTGCGTGTGTTTGGCGGAAGTTACTTCCAGCATACGAGCGTCTGTGAGTAAGATACATGCTGCCCACTGGCCTGAGAAGCTGACCCTCACGGTGAAGGTCACAGGAGGTTCTCTGTGCTGCAGGGTGCAGGGAGGGATGTTTTTCTCGGGCACAGGGCAGCGATGTCTCCACCAGGAGGGACAGTGGGTGAGAGATGGGGTGGGGAAGGAAACAGGTACCGTGCGGGTCCCACAAAGATCTTAGTGCCTGATGGTAGTGGCATGGAGCTAGGGCAGTTGTCCCTTGGGAAGGGGTCGGGCTCTGCCGCCTACACTGTTCTGGGGCGGGAGTGGTGTTAGGCCAGGCGGCCCTGTGTGGGTGAGAGCGTCCCTGGATGGTCAGGTAGCGTGGGCTCTGAGGGGAGGAGAGGAGTTCGCCAGCCCAGCAACAGGCCCAGAACATCACACAGTTCCAACTGAGCTGTGTGGAAAAGTGCAAGCCTCAGTGCAAACCCTGGCTTTAAAAAATTTAGGGGGGCGGTTCACAACAGTCTATCAAAAATAGAGGTTCTTAATCAAATTTATGTGTGTTGAGAAAGGTTAGCATGTTTACTATATAAGGGGCTATAAATAATACAGAAATGTGTGGATATCAATTTTAAGTCATTTTACTCTTTAATATTTGCAATTTTTAAAGTTAACCGGATGCTATAAGACTATTTTTAAGGTTGTCACGGAAGGGTGTTATCTGAGGTTCTCTGCTGTGACTACTGACGGTGACAGTGGACCTGATTGGACAGGCAGCTGGCAGGGCCCTGCAGCACCTGCTGGTGCTTCCAGAGGTGATGGCAGGTGGCACACAAGGGTGAGATGCACCCTGACTGCAGGGCACGGCTCAGGGGTGGGACGGACGGACAGGGGAAGGAGGAGGAAGGCAGCCTGGACTCACCAGCACCGTTCTGGCTGGGTCGAGCTGAGTGGGTGTGTGTTTTGGGACTGCTTCTGGATGTGGCTCGCACCGGGGCTCCGCAGAGAGCTCCGGGCCCGCAGTCCCAGACTCCTGCTACATCCCAGGTTCTTCTCATTCCAGGGCTTCAGCTCATTGGACTGAGGAGCTGCTGGGTCCTGCAACACACAGAAGGCCACGGTGGCTTGGATTCTGTAAGTCTGCCTAGTAAGCCTAATTATAATAGAAGTGTTCCATTGGTTCATCCCTCTGGAGAATCCAGTAAGAGTGGACACCATTCCTGGGACTGGTGCCTAACATGGGCATCTCTGTCCATCTCCTTTGGGAGGTTTAGCTGGCCTGATCCCTTACACAGTCACCTCTGAAAACACAGCGATTTCCCATCTCATATCTGTTGGAAAATCTGTGCCTCTGCCTCACCTCTGCTGGCCACAATCTCTTTTGCTTTCTCCATTCCCCACGCTCCTCTCTTCTTCCATATTCCAGGATCCTTCTTCCTTCTCCCGTGCTTTGCCTGCTTCATTTGTCTTCATTTCTTTCTCTCCTGAGTATACACACACACACACACACACACACACACACACACACACACACACACCCATGTATTGAACACAGAATAAGGCCAGCCCTACAGAAGTTACCAAGATGTGGTCCTTGGCCTCAAGAAACTCTCAAATAAGGAAACTTCCATCATCAGGGCAAGGCCAAAAATTTCAGCCTTGAAAAAGTCTAAATCTCTCAAAATAACTTTTCCACGAAGGACGCCAAGTCCTTGTAGACAGTGAATCCTGAAATCATCTAGAGTTTGGATCGGTAGAGACGGAATTCAGCCCCATCACCTAAAATCATCTCGCATTTCAACCCCGTGAGCTGAACTGCAGCCCGTTACCTGGCCTTGTGCCCGAAGCAGAGTCTGTGTGGAGACCACAGGTCTTCTGTGCTTGAGGATGAGAAGGGGGAGGTTCCTTGTCACCATCTCTTGCTAATCAACAGTGCTGACTGTGGTTTCTGATGAGGTAAATTCCCCCAGCAAGCTGAGGCAATAGTTTCCGAGAGCGAGGAGGCTGGTCCTGCATCTGCTCTTCCTCTTCATCCCGAGCCCTGCTCAGGTTTCCAGCCCTGGGCTGCCCACAGCTGGCCTGCAGCTGCTGCGTGGAGTGGAAATTCTGGCATCAGAACCCATGGGCTCCTTCTACTCCTTGTGACTGACAGCATCTGCATCGCAGGTTGCCCCACCCCTCCACGGGAAGGGAATGAGTGTCATTTCCTGGCACATATCCATGTGCACAGGAGAGACACAGGCATCGAGTGTGTAGCAGGGAACCAGGAGGCTTCAGCTGAGCAGGACCAGTGGCTCCTCATCGTCTCCGAGAGTCCAGGTCTTTGGAGATGCGGAGAAGCTGCAGTGGCATGGTTAGAGCTGTGGAACACAGCCAGAAATGTGTTGAGCAGAGCCTGCTGCTTGAGTACCAGCCATGGTTCTGGCCATGGAAAATAACCCTGCCCTGACCAAGCCTGGTGTTGTGGTTAGGAATAAAATAGTCAATATTTACAGAATACTTACTACGTGTGCTGAGTGCTTCATCTGGTTAAGTCTTTGTAGCCACCCTAGGAGATGGTTGTAAATATCAGCTCACCTCAAAGTTTGGAAATCTGTGCCTGCGAGGTGAGTCCCTCGTCTGAAGTCACATGGCTCACACCGTTCAGTCTACTTCCTGTGTTTTCGGAATGGCAGGGTTATCGTAGGATTCTGTGGGGAAGAAAGCATGGATTGTCCAGCAACGAGTGCTCAAGACTTGGCACGCAACCTGGCTCCCAGAAGATGCTAAAAACCTTGTGGAATGGGTACATGCTCAGGGGACTGATGTGTAGAGAGTAGTCTATATATTCCTCTACAAGCTGTGAGTCTCTGCAGTGCCCTTAACAGGGAGTCACCTGTACTCAACAATGCGGGAGAGGAAAACAGCTCTGTCTCCATGAACTCCCCGAAACTCCGCTCTCTCCTACATAATTTAGCCCTTCGTGTCTGAAAACAGATTGCGCTTGATGTTGTCTGTTTTCTGCCTCCAGCTCGCCCGGTAGTCACGGTGTTGGCGGGGCTAACATGTCCTCTGCTGTTCCTGTGCAGTCCTGACCCCCTCTAGGCTCAGCTCAGCTGTCACCTGCTCCAGACAGTGTCCCCCAGGATTGCCCCATCTCCTTCCACCACCACCATTAGTCCCCTGAACACCAGTTCGGATGGAATTATGGCCAGGACACCAGTGGAGTATGCCGAGGTGCTCAGTACTTGGGCCCACCAGGTAGAGTGCTTTAGGCACAGATAGAATCCTGAATCTGGGCCAGTTCCTGGGATATTGGTTCATAACGACTCCGAGGTCTGGGCTTCTGGTCTGATAGCCTTCGTGGCTAATGTACCCTTCTTTCTTCTGCTTCTGAACATCATACGATTCAAACTGTGACATTCACTGGCATAGCCTCGTCTCTGGCGTATTTCTTCGTACGGAGACATCAGCATGCTGACTGATATTCCAGGCTTTACTCTGCCCCAGGCCGTTTACCGAGATCTAACATGAGTCCAGTAAGTCAAGAGCAGGAGCAGAGTAAACTAAACCAAAGTACACCAGCTGGCTGGGCTGGGAATTTAGCAGGACCATAGAGGGGTTGTTTCCCAGAGTTTTCTTTCTTCCTCTTTGCTGATTTCTTCAACCCGTCTCTTGGAATTTTATTTTTCATAGCTGGCTCTAGGCGGTGCCAGGCACTTTACGCTTTGGAGAGCCTTTCCCCTGGAAAGATTGAGGCTGTGGAGAGGGGCTGTCAGGACGGCCCAATCTTGCTTTGCTAACTTAGAACTTGATACTTCTCTATTTCAGAACTTGGGTCAGAACAACCTCTCTGGGATGTTTGATCACAGCCCTGCAGTTCACAAAGTGTTTTCTGAGTGAACTCTCCTAAGCCTTCAATTCTCTCTAAGGGATAAGAGGAGTTTTGTTCTTATTTTGCCAGTGAAGACACCCAGACTTCCATCAAGTCTCTGGCTGAGGTGACAGTAATGGAAAGGCTGCCAGGTTCCAGGCCGGCAGCTTTCTTATTACCCGCTTCCCCTTCCTGACCTTCCCTCCAACGGTGCTAATTGCATGAGGCTTACCTAGCAAGCTCATAAAAGGTTCCCATCCAAAGCCTCACCCCAAGTAATTCCGATTTTATTGGGATGGGAGGAGGAGGAGTGTGGCCATCAGTATTTTTATGTGTTCCTGCTTCTAATGTGAGAACCATCCATCCATCCTCTTTATTTCCATGAAACTGGGTGCATCACTGAGAACTCTACCAACTAAAAGCAGTATAAATATTAATGATTTCTTCTTTGAAGCAGTTATTGAAAGCCAGCCTATCAAACCATTGAATTCCTTGGAAAGGACATTATCTGTGGATACCCAAGCTTTGAAATCCAACTCTTCAAGCAATTTTTGACTCAGGCCCTCATGTTGCCTCAAGCAAAATAAAGGTGAAGGTCACCTGCTTGAACAGTCCAGCTGTTACCTGATCTGCTGCGGAGACGGTATTTATAAGCGAAATCCTCTGTTCACCTTAGCATGTGACCAGTTGATCCTTGCTCCGAAGCTCTATGCTGAAAACAGTTTTTCCTTTGGATGCATTCCTGTCTTGCTCCAGGTTTCCGGCACAGCACTTCAGAGGTGACCCACAGCTGGGATCTCAGAGTAGAGCCGGTGGTAGGTGCCTGTACCTCCAACCTCTGCTGGACTTGGAGCCCTCTGCTCTGTGTGGTGTCCTCGTTCTGACGAAAGGGCAGGCTCAGCTCTCCCTTTTCAGGCTCTGGTGGGAGGTGAAGCTAATAGGTGGGAAACTTATTTCAGAAAGCAGAGGGAGGCGAAAGTGGAGGGAGTCAGCCTTTAAGTAACGACAACCCGGTCAGTCTGAAGCGTCAACCCAGCACTGCCCTCTGTTTCAGCAGGAAGAGGTGGGTTCTATCAAGACAAAGTATATAAGGCAAGACCAAAAGCTTCACTGGTTACGTCAAAGGGGGAGGGAAGGGATGAAAAGCGGAATGCACCAGGGGCACACACGAGGTAAACGTTATGAACTGCAAACACGCACTGGCATAAACGAACAATTCAGAAAACGGGTTTGAAGCTGGGGCTGTCTCCAAGCATCGCTCCATCCTTCTCTTCTAAGAGAGAGCTTCAAGTATATTTGCACTTCATATATTTTCTTGATATTTATTTTTATTTTCATCAAATAAACATGATCATAGTTCAGACAAAAATAGAAAGCATGATATTTTAAGCCTTACAATGAATAACAGCAGCCTTGCTCTCTTCTATTAACTCTAGTTCCATATTTAGTAACTTTCAAATTTTTTGATTATTTGCTGACATTTTCTTCCCTACTTCTTTTTCTTTTTCTTTTTTCTTTTTTTTTTTTTTTTTTTTGATAGCAGGGACTGAACTCAGGACCTTGTGCTTGTGAGGCAGGTGGCAAGACCACTGAGCTAAATCCCTGGCCCTTCTTTCCTATTTCTAAAAAAAAAAAAAAAAAAATTTTTTTTTTTTTTTTTTTGATAGCAGGGACTGAACTCAGGACCTTGTGCTTGTGAGGCAGGTGGCAAGACCACTGAGCTAAATCCCTGGCCCTTCTTTCCTATTTCTAAAAAAAAAAAAAAAAAAATTTTTTTTTTTTTTTTTTTTTTTTTTTTTGATAGCAGGGACTGAACTCAGGACCTTGTGCTTGTGAGGCAGGTGGCAAGACCACTGAGCTAAATCCCTGGCCCTTCTTTCCTATTTCTAAAAACTATACTACAGAAGCTTTTCTCATTGATTCACAGCATTTATAAATTATTAACTGACTTGATATTAGCTTTAGAAGTTGCTTATCGCCTGTTATGGGACACGAGGATATAATGTCCACATAGCCTCCGTCTCCTCCGACTTTGGATGTCTGCCTCCCGTGAATGTAGTTAGGCCACAGGTGTGCCAGACAGTCATTTACCATGCTTTGCCCACTTAAATACTGTTTGCTGCTCACCCAGATGGAATTCTATGGTTGTTTTCTTTCTCTATGACTTGTTTCCTTTCCTCTGATCGTGCATTTTTGTGTTTTTATTCACCAAGGGTGAGTATACATTTTCAGCAGTCTTTTGAAGTGCAGCACGATTTTAGTACACTTTCAGTACTCTTTTCGAATGTGTGGATATATATCTCACATGTATGAAGTACTTTCTTCATTCCATTTTGATATTTTGCTCGTAGAGACTTCTTTCCATCTTTGCTTAAATTGTGTCGGGCTTTTCTACAGAAATGCTGAGTAGCTGTCGTCTGTCCTGTCCAAGGTCCCTAGAGGTCCCTGCTCTTGGACTGTGATGTACAAATCCTTTCCCTGCGAGTGAGGTGAGTTTGCTACTCTTCTGACAAAGGAGATATGGCAGGGGTAATGCTTACCATTTCTATAAAGTGCTGAAGTGCAATCTTATTTTTTTCCTTTTTATTGAGTTTATTGGTACAATCTAGGTATACAGTACAGTTACATTCATTATTGGGATCCTGTACCTTTACATAAAAGGTCTTGATTCTCATTTTTTCCCCTTGTC